CCCGGGCTTAAAACTCATGCTATGTGCATGTGCGTGCATGCCCAAGATCCTGAGAGGAGAATGGAGGAGAAGAGGTTGTGGTGTGGCCATCTCCCTGGGGGTGATTTCTCTCTTTCTGTATCTCTGGCAAGCACACTCTATAGCAAAAATTTCTCTCTCTCTCTCAAAAAAAAAAAGCAGTTAAAATAGTTACTCCATTTATTGAATAATAATGAAAGGATGTTCTAATAGGTAAATATGCATTCGAATTTAGTAACTTTTGCTAAATTATATGCTTTACCAAACATAATATCTTTTTACTTTATAATCTATTTATACTAGTATTTACCAATACAAGCAATAAAAACAATTAGTTATCATACTGAAATCGATAATTATTGGTAAATACTATTTATTAAGTGAATAAGACTCCTTGAGAATGCATTCTTGGTAGATGCTTAAACTATCCTGAGATAATTTACAGTGGGCTGGAGAACAGTGGATGCATTATTTTGTCAATTAATCCATGGAAGATTCATCACAATGGAAGGGACTAAGCAGAAAGCTAACAGAAAGCTTCAGGTGCTTATCAGGTTGGAGTTGAGCAGCAAAGGAAACAATTTATGTTGGTAATTAGAGCCTTGTTGTTTTAATGTTGTGTTACTGTGGGTTATGCTCTGCTTGGAATTACAGGTTACTATAAATGTTCAAAATGATCATAATGACCAGACAATCAGGAATAATAATACTGCAAGATGAATTTTGACAATATAAAAGTAATAAAAGTACAAAGTAAATGACATGAATACCATCCTGCTGGGTGCCTAAAAAAACTACACACATCATTAAATGCGTTAGATTAAATTTGTAAACTTTTGCCATGTCGTAATTCCAAATTGCATAAATGCTTAGCCTTAGAGATGATTATACATGTAGTCTGCTTACCAGCTCATAACTCACAATACTCTTTTTAAAAAATCACTTACGAAATCCAAGACTAGTTCAATTCTCTACATGGCAGGAGGTTAGAACTACGGTTGAAATGCCCGAGATTAATTTTTAAACCTCTATTAGAGTAGAGTCTCAAAATAGGATTAAAGTTTAATTATTAAAAATGGAGAAAGCTGTATCTGATTTAGATCCTGCCAGCTTTCCATTCCACGTACAAATTTCTATTCTCCATAAATTCTACCTACTGGTAGGGATTATGCAAATGAAGAAACCTACTTTACATTGGAAAATATTATATCTACCTCTGATTTAAGCTAACTAAATGTCACATATAATTTCCGCTAGTCAGAACAGACCTCTTTTCATCTGTCTAAAAACCTGAAGTCTGCATAATGGTTATGTCGCTGGACTCCCATGTAGTCAATTGCAGTTCAAGTCCCAGACCTGGTGGCTTAAAACTCACACAAGGTGTGTTTGTGTGTGTGCGTGTGTGCACAAAATCCCGAGAGGAGAATGGAGAAAGGATTACAGCTTGGACATCCCTCCCCCGGTGTGTGTGTGTGTGTGTGTGTGTGTGTGATTTCTTGCTTTCTATATCTCTATCTCTCCAGCAAGTGCACACACATTGTAGAAAAATATCTCTTTAAAAATAAAATAAAATAAAATAAAAATGTAAGGTCACCATACCCTGAAAACTGGTCATTTCTCCAATACCATGCCAGGACATCCTTTAAATCACTGATCTTGGGTTCAGAATTCCATTATAGCTTACAAATAATCCTTCTCAATTCTTAAAACTAAAGTTGTCTTTTGTAGCTTTAGGTTAGTTCAAAACTAAAACTGCAAGTTTATTTTCTGACAATTACTTTTTCCTACATCAAATTCATATTTGAAAATAACTGCCAGAAACTGTGTGATACATAGCATGAGAATGTTAACATTTTCTTGAATTGTTCAGAAAATACATTTCTTAAATTTCTTGAAATAAGTCATAAGAAGTTATAAAAGTAGAATAAATCACTTTCTAAAGGATGCACGTCTTACGTAACATTTGGAGATTTGCAATTAAAATGACGAATACGTACTCGTACAGTTTTAGATTTTATTCTAATTATTATTTTTTAATTTTCCAAAGTATGTGTGCACTTGCTGGAGAGAAACAGAGAGAGAGAGTGAGAAAGTACACTCCAAGGAGGATGACCATGCCACAGTCCCTTCTCCTCCATTCTCTTCTTGGGATTTTAGGCACACATGCACATGTACCTGGAATAATTTTTAACCCACTGGTCGAGGACTTGAACTGCAGTCAGCCATGTGGGAATTCAGCTGCCTTAATCACCATGCCAACTGCTGACTCCTCTACACCTCATTTTTTGCAGTCTTGATAATGACTTGCATTTGATAATAGGTTTTGAAACGGCTTCTGGCATGATAGCTATAATATCTCAAGAGATACAAGTTCCAAAATTCTCAGTTCAAAATGAAATTCAAGAGCAATAAAACCTTGACATAAAAGCTAATGTTGTGATAATCATTGATTGATAAGGCATTGGGAAAAAAAATTCTGAACTCTTAACGACTCATTGAACATAATCTCAATTTACAAATTCAGTTTTCAGCATTAGATAACATATATTAATATTCATAGCTCTTTGTGGAGAAAGTATGACACATATATTAGTACCCAAAGGTTCTTAAAGAAACCAATAATAAAATATTTAAAAATTTGTAAGACATACATGGATAGAAACAAAGATTTATTGAAATTTAGCAAAATCCATTGCATTATGTATTGTTTATGGTTGTTCTCATGCTAAAAGAGCAGAATTAGGGTATTGCAATGAAGATCACAGAGCTCAGAAAATCTAGAATATTAATTATCTGACCCTTGGGGCCAGAAGGTGGCGTGGTGGTTAAGGGCGCTGGATTCCCACATGACCGACCATGTGTCGAGTCCCGGACCTGGGGGCTTGCTTTCTTGCTTTCCCTCTCTCTCTCTCTCTCTCTCTCGCTCTCGCTCTCGCTCTCGCTCTCGCTCTCACTCTGTCCCTCTCTCTGGTCAAATAAAATAAATAAATAACATAAAAAAAACCTGACCCTTTATGGAAAAGATTTAAACACCTGATTAAATATACACCTATTAATATATTTAATTGTATGCTGATGTGTGCTTTTTATTCTCTAATAATATTAAAAAGTGTACTAAGTTCAAAAAACAATTTATATTTTTAATTGAAAAATAAGTTTCAACTTATGCTTCCCTAGAAAGTTAATGATGACTTGTATTTTGTCTCTACTCTGTCACTATTAACAGTCTACCCTAGGATGATGTGTCATCACTGACTACAGAAGACCCACGTTAGTTAATGAACGCTCGGCCTCTTTATTAAGTGTTGGTGATGACTTTAGGAGACTGCCTGTTGCTGAAGAGTTAGGTGCAGATTACTCTGCAACACATGTCTGTTCAGTGAGATGGAATGGCAGTCCCTAAATAATTTTCTTCATTTTCTCTCCCCAGTTCCTCTATACATAGAAAAGGGAAGTAAAGTGACAACTGTAAATGCATAGGCTCAATAGGCAGATAACTTCACACACAAAGAAAAGATGCCGGCATGACAATGTATGTATGTATGATAGAATTCCAGTGTACTCAATAAGAATATATACTTAGTACTTTTCAAAATAAAAGTGTAAAAATGTTAGCTTGAGGGACCAGCAGGTGGTGTGGTAGTTAAGGCATTGGACTCCCACATGGCCAATCACAGTATGAATCCCTGAACTGGGGACTTGAAAATCATGCTGGGCACATGTGCACACGTCCTCAAAATCCCAGGAGGAGAAATGATTGTGGCAAGGCCATTCCCTTGGGGAATGATTTCTCATTTTCCTTCTCTGTTTCTCTCTGGAGAGTACATATGCCCCATGGTTAAAAAAAAAAAGAAAGAAAGAAAAAAAAATAGTTATCTTAGTATAAAGAAAATCAGAGCTTTCAATATGATAGTTAATTCCAGTAATTCTTTGATTTTCATGCCAATTTATTAAATTAAAATGTAACTTTCAAATTTCTGTTAAAGGTATGACAGAAGGGGCCAGCAGATGGCATGACGATCAAGTCCTGAACCTGATGGCTTGAAAACCATGCTCAGTGTATGTGTGTATGTGCCAAAAATCTCAGAGGAGAATGGAGGAGAAGGAAGCTCAAAGTGGCCATCTCCTGGGAAGATTTCTCTTTTTTCTTCTCTCTGTCTCTCTAGGTGACACCATTACGCTATCTGCTAGTCCCAAGAAGTTTTCTCTATAATGACATGTTACTTAATTAAGTTAGATAAAATTTTGCAAAGTATGTGTAAAATGTACATTTTGTAGAAATATTTTAGTACTTTAGAATATATTTGGAGGTCAGCAGGAGGCATGGTCACTAAAGTACTAGGCTCCTATGTCCCAGACCCAGTGGCTTGAAAGTCACTCCAATGTGTGTGTACATGCCCTAGATCCCAGGAGGAGAATGGAGAAGGGAGGCATGGTGTTTAAGGTGCTTGACTCCTGGGGCCTGGACCCAGTGACCCCGGACCCATTTGTGTGTGTGTGTGTGTGTGTGTGTGTGTGTGTGCTTGTGTGTGTGTGTGTGTGCGTGCATGTGCCAAGATACCAGGATGAGAATAGAGGATAAGGGATTGCAGTGTGGACATCTTTCTCTGAGGCATGATTTCTCACTTTCCTTCCTACTCTTTCTCTCTCTCTCTCCTTCTCTCCTTTTCTCTCTCTTGGGCACATGCACCTTATGGCAAAAACCTTAAAAATACATATATATGCATTTTACTATAGTAAGAACACATGAGGACTGGTGCTCAAACTCCTCTTTTATTTTGGAATATTTAGCAGTATAATCATTAAATTATATCAAACAAATTTATTAATTAAATTTATGAATAAAAAGGCCAGAGCATATAAACACTAAAATTGTATTTTAATAATAAATGAAGCATTTCAAATTCATTTTAAAATAAATAAAACAAAATTAAAATGATTTATGTAAATATGTATATTTATATATATGCATGCTTTTTTACTTGAAAATTGTTTTTCATTTTCATAAATTAAACTATGTGCAGTAATATTGCTGCAATTCCCATAGAGATTTAACTGACATTGACAATTATTTCTGAACAATTTCTGCCTATGAAAGTGAAAGAAAATAAAATTTTCAATAAGACTAAAATATCTACATTGCATATAGATATTTAATTACATTAATCAGTTTGCCAAAAAATCTAATTTTTTAAAAAAAGACGTGGTCTCACTGTGCTGTGATCCTCCTGCCTTAACCATCTGAAATTAAAGGAGAGACATCATGTTGGCTTGTTTTTTCCTTAATTTTAAGTTTATTTATATATTTCCTCCATGAGCTAGGGAAATCAGAGACAGAGAGAGATGGACAGACAAAGAAAGAAAGGCAGAGAAACATCACCCTCAACAGGCCCTGCCACCATAATTCACGACCATCTTCAACTCAGGAAGATCTTTTGAAAGAAACCCTGGAAGTTTCTTATGTGAATCAGCCTTACAGAGTGTCTGTTTTATGCCTGTAGCCCATCTCCCTTTCAGACGGGCACTCACGGCTTTTGTTTGTTTGTTTCGTTGGTTGGTTGGTTGGTTTTGTTTTGTTTTGTTTTTTGTTGTGTTTTGTTTTGTTTTGGGGTGTGTGTGTGTGTTGTGTGTGTGTTTTCCCCCAGCATGAATAGGCCTAGGTGAGTTTTAAATCCTACCATGACTTATTGAGGTCTTCCATTAAAAAATATCATACAGGCTTCTCAAGCTTGGCTGTAGTGGAATCAACCCAAGCACTTGAAAGAAGGACTTAACTGAAGCCTGCTAGAGCCTGCTCAACAAAATTATAGGTAGATACTTAAGTCTGATCTGCTCCAGACATATTTGCTGGTCACTCTCCATCTCTTATAACCAAAGTGTACTCCAATCTGTGATTTGTTTTCATATCCTACATTCAATTACCCACATTCAAATGTTTTTCCATAGTCCACTTAGCATGATCTTATTCATTTCTCTTACAACTCTCAATGCCAAATCTATGGAACTCCCAGTAAAAGAAATTCTTTCATTGATTTTTATGTCTGAGTAGAATTCTGTAGTGTATATGTGCTACACTTGTTCAATCCATTCATCTGTTCATGGGCAGAGTTGGTTCCATGTCTTAGCAATTGTGAATAATACCACAATAAACATGGATGTGCAAGTTTTTTCTGATTGAGTACATTCCTATATCCTTTGGGTAGGTACCTAGGAGTGGAATTGTTGAAAAAAAAAAAAAAAGAAAGAAAGAAATTCTTTCATAAGTTTCCAAACTTTAAATATTCCTTATAATTTTCTATCTTTCCACTTTCCTCTGATGACCCAAATTTCCCTAGTAAACTCTTAAGTAGATATAGTTTATATTCTCTTAAACCCTCACCGCAGCCTTAGGTAATGTAATTCACAGTGTTTTTAGATTGTCCTTTTTCTGGTTTCATTACCCATCAAATATCTTCTTTTCATACACTTTCCCCATCATTACCTTTCATTTAACTTATTACGACCAGTTATTAATTTTATCATTCCCTTTTTATCCTTGTCGCCGTTACCTATCAATCACCAGTAGGTACTACAACAGTACCCGTTAAGAACATTCCTCTTGGCTGGCAATTACCTTCCTCTCCAACTCTACCAGGGAGTTCTGATGCTCACCCTCAGCCACGTAGTTCCTGAACTTTCTCTGTTCAGTAGCTTTCTCACATGTTCATTTCTACTTTATCGCTCAGAATTGTTTACCTAAATATAATAAGCTTGAATTTTTTTTCTATGACCAAAACCTTTTATATTCTTGTGGAAATTATTTTTTTAACTATATGAGACATTAAGAATGTATGTTGAGAAAGATGTAAAAATAGGTATTTCAGGGGTTAAAAAATACATTTCTAAGAAACCTCTTCCATGATGCAAAAAGTCTATTTTAAAGGATGCCTGATAAGATTTTAATAAACCCAGAATTCAAATTTAGTCCATCCTAAAGAAACTATAAGCATTTTTTTTAAATGTAGTTTGTTGGGGGGGGGGTAACAGTTTATGAATTCAAATCACTTATTTGCCTATCTTAATAAATTGTGAATCTTTAAAAACAATCTTACCTGTAAATGGTGGTTGACAAATACATTCATATCCTTGCTTATTCCATTCTCCTCTTATAATAATGCAACTGCCATTGTTTTTACATGGCTTATAAGAACATGCATCGAGTTCCTGGCAGTATTTTCCAGAAAATGGAGGCTGACAGCGGCAGCTGTATGTCTTGTCCCAAACTTCACTAAGACATTTGCCATGCCCAGAGCAAAATTCTGAACTTTGAGATTCCTGGCAGAACTGTTGTTTCACTGTCACATTTAATCGAAGTCCCAGTTGACAAAGCGAAGGACCACCTGCCATTACTGTGATAAAATAATGTGTCCCAACACTTAGCCAGTGAGGATTAACAATGTGCATTCCTTTTAGTTTGCAGCCAAAAAGCAACTGATTTTCAGTTGAAGTATTTTGCAGGCAGTCAGTGAAAGCTTCTTTAGATACATTCATCAAATTTATTTCTGGAGATTGAAGGGATGGTTCAGAAGAAATTACAAGGATGTCTCCTAATTGAATTTGCAAAGGGCAAATCTGGGGAACAAGTTGATTGCTGGAAGTGTTTATTTTAGTGTTTACAGCCAAAACCCAGCAATCTCTATAAAAATCCATGCAGATGTTTCCTTTGATTGTCCAGTTCACCACATATGTCGAGGGCTGTGGATGCCATTCCTCTACCAATTTCCATTTACATGTTTTTCCATTTAGAAAGGAACAGTGAAGAACCACCAGGCTCAGAAAAATAATAGATCTGTCAGTCATTTTCAGGCAAATTATTGTAGAGTCCATCATGAAAGTGTCATAAGAATTGCTGCAAAATAGTTCTTAAGTATTGCTGGATGCTTGCAAGCAGATATTCTGTTTAGAGATTTCTGAGATTACCTTTTTTCCCTATTCTTCGACTGCTAGTGGCTTTAATGATAGTGGACTTTGATTAAGAAAAGAGTAGAGATCAAGTGTTCTAAATAGACCTTTAAACAGAAAAACACACATTATTAGTTTTTCCTATACAATATTACTTAATGATATAGATAATTCATAGCTATTCAATTTCTTAGCTCAAAAAATGTCTACACTGCAAGGCTAACATCCCTAGTGACTGGGGATTATCTTTGGGAAAGAAGGCTAGAAAGAACATAGCCAGAATATGCTGATATAGTATAGCTCTATGTAACTGCTTTGAAAAATTTTGTTATGATGACATAATTAAACTAGAAACTTACTGCAGTCTTTTTTTGTATTCTCTTTACACCATTTTTTCCCATCTAATTGAGACACAGCAATAAACATATTCTTTTTTAAAATAGATTATTTCAATTTTTCATGGTAAGTTTTTCTTTTTTAAAAAAATTTTGCCACAGTGCATGTACATTCACCAGACATAATGAGGCAGAGAGAGAAAATGAGAAGCACTCTCAGTGAGGAATGATCACGCTATAATCCCTTCGCCATCTCTTCCTGCTTTCAGGATTTTGGGCACATATGCATATGCGCCTGGCAGATTTTTCAGTCCACACTGTCTGTGACTCAAACTGCGCAGCTGACTATGTGGGATCTAGCCACCTTCACCACCACACCACAGGCTAACCTGGTTTCAGTTTCCTTCAGTGATCTATATTCCTCTTTTGATTGATATTAGAAAAATACTTTAAAAACACAAGAGATCAAAATAAACATGGTTTACATATAGTTTTCTTTAAATATTTTCATGTAAACAGAAACCTCAAAGTACACTTATGTTGGTGACACTCATGTTCCTCTCAATGAATCCAAATACATAAAGGGCTTGTTTTGGACAAATGACTAAACTTAGAATGAGTCTTCATCCAGCTGCAGAAATGGTGAAAAAAGGGCAGGCCAAAATGGAAAGGATGTGTAATATGAATTAACAAAGGGCTGATAAACAAAAGTATTAAGGTAGTTAACTTTCTCTTTTATCAAAACATTGTCACTTCCAGAGAACAAGAAATTTACTGAATGGGAAAAAGCAGAAAGTTTCTCCACTAAAACCTGGTACAAGACAAAGCTGCCCACTTTCTCCACTCCCATTCAACATAGTACTGGAAGTCCTAGCCAATGTGATCAGAAAAGAGAAAGAAATAAAAAGCATTCCAATAGGAAAAGAAGAGCTGAAATTATTTCTGTTTGCAGATGATTGTATGATTGTATACATAGAATATCCAATAGTACCTACAAGAAAACTTCTCGAAGTAATAAATGCATACAGTAAAGTGACAAGATGTAAAGTTAAATTATAAAAATGTACAGCATTTCTATATACAAGCAAGCAGACCTAGAGACAGAACTGAATAAAGGAATTCCATTTAATATAGCCACAAGAAGTAAATGATACCTAGGAATAAAACTAACCAAGGGGGACCAGCAGTTAGCATAATGGCTATGTCACTGGACTCCCATGTAGCTGACCACGGTTTGTGTCCCGGACTCAGTGGCTTAAAATCAACCCCGGGCCTTGGGCATCTGTCCCGGACTCAGTGGCTTAAACTCACACCCGGCACGTGTGCATGCATGCCCAAGATCCCGAGAGGAGAATGGAGGAGAAGGGATTGCAGTGTGACCATCCACTTGGGGGGTGATTTCTCGCTTTCTATCACTCTGTCTCTCTCTGTCTTTCTGGCAAGCGCATGTGCCCAATAGCAAAAAAAAAAAACAAAACAAAACAAAAACAAAATTAAAAAAAAAAAACTCTCAAAAAGAAAAGAAAAAATCTAACCAAGGAAGTCAAAGACCTCTACAAGGAAAACTATGAAAACTTTAAAAAGGAAATCAAAAAGGACACAAAAAAGTAGAAGGACATCCCATGTTCCTGGATTGACAGAATTATTATAATCTAAATAACAGTCTTTTCCAAATTAATCTATGTATTTAGTGCAATCCCTATAAAATTACAAGAAATTCTTCACAGATTAGAGAAGACAATCATACAATTTGTCTGGAATCATAAAATCTCTGTATTGCCAAAGCCAACCTATTCAAGAATAGTAGTGTAGGGGGCATCTCACTTCCTGACCCAAAAATATATTACAAAGCTGTGATAATCAAAATAGCATGGTATTGGCACAAAAACAGACATGAGGACCAATGAAACAAAGTAGAAACTCCAGAAATAAGACCCAAACATACAGCCAACTGATCTTTGGCAAAGGGTACCAGTCAATTCAGTTGGAAAAGGAAAACCTCTTTAGCAAATGGTGCTGGAAAAACTGGGTCCACCTGTAAAAAGATGAATCTGAACCCCTACCTGTCACCATTAACAAAAATCAACTCAAAGTGGATTAAAGATTTAAACCTAAGACCACAAACTATAAAACCACTGGTGCAAAACACTGGAGAAACTCTGGGAGACATGGGGGTAGGCAAAAACTACTTAAGACCCCCAAAGCACAGGAAATGATCCCTAAAGTAGGCTGGTGGAATTACATCAGATTAAGAAGTTTCTGCACAGCAAAGGACACTGTAATTACTGTGAATCAACAACCCCTGGAATGGGAGACAATATTTGTTAACTGTGCCTCAGATAAGGGGCTGATAATCAGAATACACAGAGAACTCAAACAGCTTACCCAGAAGAAAATAATTAACTCAATTAAAAGCTGGAAAAATGAACTGAATAAACAACTCGCTGAGGAAGACATATAAACAGCCAAAAATCATATGAAAAAATACTCGACATCTCTCATTGTAAGGGAGATGCGGATCAAAACTACAATGAGATACCACCAATGAGTCAGAATGGTGAAGATTAAAAACAAAAAAGGTTAAGTGATGGCAGGGATGTTGTGAAAGGGAAACACTCCTACATTGTTGATGAGAATGTAAACTATCCAACCACTATGGAGAACAATATGGAAATTCCTCAAAGATCTGAAAATAGAACTACCATATAATCCAGCAATTATCCTCATAGGTATCTACCCAAAGGACAGGAGAACAGTCAGTTAGAAAAGCTCTTGCACAACTATATTTATTACAACACTATTTATAATTGATAAGACAAGGTAACAAATGTCCACAAATGGATGAATGGATTGAAAAAGTGTGGCACATATACTCCATGGAATATTATTTAGCCATAAAAATACAACAAGGCCCTGGAATTTGATAGAAAGTGTGGATGAATATGGAAGATTTGGGGCTGAGTGAAGCAAGTCAGGCTGTGAAAGTGAGACATTGTATGTCTCCACTTAACATATACCGACTGTCTGCACTCTATGGTAGAGACTGAAAGACTGGAGGACATAAAAACATTTAAACTGTTATGGACACTAGAGACAGAGTGGAAGGAGAGTGTGGGAGGGGAAGAGTACAAGAAAGATGATTTGGGAAAAAAATGGAGAGGTAAGATATTTGTGGGACACAGATATAGTTTATTATCTGTTGATGAGGATGTGTATAGTATTCTCAACTGGACCGAAATGTATGTCATGCTGAGTAAGGTCTCTTTACAAACTAAATGATGTATAGTGATTGAATGCATAAATAATAATAATAATAAAGAAAAAATAAAATATTACATAGCCACCAAAAAAAATTAAACAGGGATTTTGAGGTTTAATATATTGACCAAATTTAGGGGAAATAAAATGTAACTAGCAAAAATTGAGAATTTTCTTCTTGCTAATTCTAGTACTTGATTAACTAACTGTAATCCTGGGACCATCAGGTTGTGTGGTGGTTGAGGTGCTGAATTCCCACATGACCAATTGTAGTAAGAATTCTAGACCCGGTGGCTAGTTTTCTCACTTTTCTCTCTCTCTCTGGTCAAATCAAAAATAATAATTATAATAAATAAATAAAATTAAATAAATAATTCTAAAAACAACCCTGTAATACTAGAAGCAAAATCAAGATTCTGAAAAATAAAACATATATGAACATAATAGAAAAACATGATCTTTGGATCTCAATTATTTTTTCATTGTATGTCCTTAAGTAACATAACCTTTAACTCTCTCCATTTATATATATTTCAATGAAGAAAATATGCCTAATTAACAAGACAGTAGTGAAGATTGAATTAGACAATGTAAGCATATATGAGATGTCCAATAGATGGTAGCTTTTTATAATTATATTAACTTTATCATTGTCCAATTTTACTTATAAAGTAAATATCATATAATAGCATGATCAAAATCATGTTTTTTTCAGATTCTACATTTCAGTATTTAATTCTAAAGCAAAACAACCAATCAAACATTAATAAAGTAAATAATTTTATATCATATATTATCACTTTAAGTTATATGAATCATTTACAGTAAGTCTAATATTATAATGTTCTTTATAATCACATTTATTTTAAACATGTTAATTGTCACAAAAACTTCTGGATTTCAGTTATTAATCCTGATGAAAGTTTAAGTAATATATTAAATATATTTGAGCTCAATATGTGTGAAAGGTGACATGCTAGGTGCTAAGAATTCATCAATAAACAATTACAATGAGTTACTTGTGTAACTAATTAAGTACTTAATGAAGGAGACAAATTATTAGGCATGAGATTACAAGTTCTTACAGATCTAGAGTGCTAGGAGAAACCTGGTAGAGATATGTAATCCTGTCTGAGAAAAACAGTGAAGTGATGAAATGAAAACATCTGGGAAAATAGTCAGGGGAGAAGTATTCTAGGAGAGAACATCGATCTAAAGATTTTGAGGTGAATGTGATACTGGATAGATTTAAGGAAGTAAAAGAAGTGAAGCTTAAAGTGTAGGGGAAAGAAAATTATGATGTAGAAAAAATCCCTCATTAGAGGGCTATCAAATGGGACACACACTTTCAGTAAAGGAGCCTGTATTTTTCTGAGAGAAAGAGAGAGAGTCCCTTGGAGACTTCATGTAGGGGGTCAATAAGGGAAGACTTTATCTTAGTGACAGTCTAGTTGTGGATAAGACAATGGTGCTCATCAAGTTAAATGGTTCTGACAGTACAACAGACATATAAT